TTTGGTATAGTAGCGGGGTCTCGTTACACCCGGGTGGCACCGGCCCGGAAATGGGGAGGGGAGAGAGGGAGAGGGAGCGAGGGAGGGAGCGAGGGAGGGAGGGAGGGAGGGAGGGAGGGGGCGATGATGGTGCTATAACCCTCTGTGCGTGCAGCGTGTTGCGCGTCCGGCCCGGCAGACATTGTCGCATCGGGCGCGCATCATATGCGACATGCGAATCGAACCTGTTATATTTGAGTGCAGTTTGTTACTATGGTATTTTTCGGCCGCCTGCTGCAGCGGCAGGAGTGCGCGGGCGCTGAAAAGAGCAGCTTGTTGAGCTTTGTATTGCAGCCCCTTTCCGGCCCCATTGTCTTTCTTTTCTTGTGGCCCCCGCGCCTTCTCGACCTTCTATATCTCCCTTCCTTCCTTCTTTCCATACTTTGCAGCGGGCTTCCCTTATTTCACTCGCAGATGATGATGAATGTCATTCTCTACGCCACGCTCCCAGCCACAGCAGGGCCACGCAGAAACAGACAGACAGACAGACAGACAGACAGACAGACAGACAGACAGACAGACAGACAGACAGACAGACAGACAGCCAGACAGACAGACAGGGGACAAAACGGAAGGGGAAAAGCATGAAGGAAGTGAGTAAGGGCGGTGCAACAAAAGCAAAGAGGAGTCGGGTTTATTTTGGTTCGTGTGGTCTGCCCCGAGGTCTGCCCCGCTGCGGTGCGCTCCCCCTTGTACACCATCCGCTGCATAATGCTCTAGGCCCAGGCCGGTGCACAATGCAATGCAGTCGGTACAGTGCATTCACGTAACCGCTGCACTCGGCGCCGCCCGGGGAGGAGGGGGGAGGGCACTTGGTGGCCGTCCTGGGGCAGTCACTCTGCAGGGCCTGGCCGGCCGGCAGGGCCTTCCCTCCCCCTCACCGCGCACAACAATAACGTATAGCGGTCCAGCTCTCTGACCCGGCCAGCCGGTGTGATACACGGTAGTGCTGGTCGTGACGGGCGCGGCGGCGGGGCGGGGCGGGGCGAGTGCGATGCTGGCGGCCATTGTATTGTTGGCCAACGTTACTACTTTTGCGTCCACAACATTGTTCCCACGGACCTAACCGTTCACCTCTGGTGGTGCCTCTTGACGACGGCGACCGTCGGCGGGGCAGGCAAGCCCCTTGGTGTGTGGCCGGGTGCCGGGGGAGAGCCAAGGTGTCGAGCAGGGTGGGCGCGGCCCTGAAGGATATGTAGTTAGCGATTAGTAAGGTGGAAAAGTGGGGTCCGGCGAAAAGGGGGGTCGCCGAAGAGGGTCGCCGAGGAGGGTCGCCGAGGAGGGTCGCCGAGGAGGGTCGCCGAGGAGGGTCGCCGAGGAGGGTCGCCGAGTAGGGTCGGCGCCAGACGCCGCGTACGCTTGATTGGGCTCGCTCCAGTCCACATTTAAGCAAGTACATAGTTTATAGCGAACATGAACAGATGGCTAAGTGTCGGAAAAGCGGACTGGAGCGAGCTCAAACAAGTGTACGCGCGGCGGTTTGCGCCGGCCCTCCTCCTCGCCGACCCTTGTTTTCGCCGGACCGGCCGGACCCCTCTACTTTTCGGCCCTACTGATCGCTACATACATAACCTCCTGAAGTGCCCACCTTGGGCGGCAGGAGTCCGTCTCGTGTGGTCCAGGTCGCGGGGCCCCCGGCAGGTAGGCTGACCGAGCCGAGCGGAGCGCAGTGGTGCGGGCGGGCTGCCTACCAGCCGGGCGGTACACCCGGGCCAGGCTTTCACTGCGCTGCAACACGGCCCCGCCCTGTCCTGCCCCCCGCCCCGCCTCGGGCCGCCTCTCCCACGCGCCCGTACAAGGAGAGGAGGTAGAGGAGGTTGTTAACATGGATGGCGTTAGGCAAAGCAGCACATCCCCTCGTTAGTCCTTACGTAAAGGCTGGCTTTTGAGCGTTCGAGCCGAGCAGGCCCCAGCGCCCGCCCCAGCGCCCCAGCCCAGCCGAGACGCGGCCGAGACGCTGGATGCCCACGGTGCATATCGCAGACTTCAGACATACCCCCACCCCCCTCAAAAAAATAATATCATTAAGAAAATCTCGCGCGCGCTTTTCTGTGCTCCAGGGAGTCCAAGTTGCCAAGTTGTGTATAATACTTTCAAATGATTCCAGATATCGACTCATCGACTCTTAAGCAATGTGGATTTTCCATGCACGATTGTATTGAATTGTATTGTACTGCACGGTGCCGTTAAAAACAGAACGTAGAAACACATCAGATTTCGTAATCGGTGTTGGTAACGATTTCTCTGTGCTGAGCTGTCCGTCGCCAAACTCCAATACATCGCGATCTGAGTACAGTAACAAAACAAGTCGCCCGGATTGGTACAGCAGCGGCTCAGACTCTTTGGCCCAGTGCTGTTCTCGTCGGGCAGTCACTGGCGCTCGGCCCCGCCGAGTAGGCATGCCCACAGGCAGGCGCAGGCCTTCCCCTAATTAATAGACGCGGGCACGTGAGCGAATCAGCAGCGCTCTGGTGTTCGGTCACGACGTGGCTCTCTCTCTCTCTCTCTCTCTCTCTCTCTC